ATTATTAGTCATACAAAAGCAAGTTTGTGATGACGAGTTCCGAACATATTAATCGACGATTTGATAGAAGATCGAGTTTAGGATTTTGACATTCCATGAATCCGTGCTCGATTAGGATATATCACTAGAGAGACATTACCTGCATGATACATATGATCTGAAATGGGTTCGATGAAGTATTTCTTCATTGTGGTTTAGGGACTATGACACATTACTAGATGTTTACCATAGTCGTTGGGCCTCCGGACAGGTTTTCAGATTCATCCAGAACCAACTCACGGCTAATCCGCGGTGGACTTACATGGTCACACTAATAGCCTTGAGAAGTTAGAGAAGGATAAGAGAGAAAGAAATGATTATCTGAAGAGGGCTAGCACCTTCCGAGGGTAATGACGGGATTTCTATGGTAATAGTTACATAGAAAATTGTTTGTGAAATTTTAAGGGTTAAAATGGTCAAGCAATAATTAATTATATTTAATTATTATATCTTAAAGCGTTAAGATTAATGAGATGAACGAAAATAACCTTTTAATAGTTAAAGGGTAAAAGGATAAATTTATGGGTTGTTAATGTAAACTAGTTTAGTTTACATGGGCCCTTGAATAATATTGATTATTCAAAGAGTAAAATAATAAATTCGTGGGCTCCTTTTGAAATAAGATTTTATTGGGGCATGGAAATGAAAAACAACTAATTGCAAAAATTGCCCAAGTATATATAAATGCAAATGGTTGCATTTGAGTTCATTATTCACTTTGTTCACTCAAAGCAAACTAAGATCTCTCTCTCTAAGCCAAGACCATTCTCTAACTCACTCAAGGTGGTGTTAAAGTGTGGAGGTCTCATCATTTTGAGTCTTGTCTTCATCAACCCAAAGCAAAGGAGTAGGTATAATGCTTTTTCTAAGCTTTGTTTGAAAACTTTTTTTTTTTTTTTAATCCCACCTTTCATGCTTTCAATCTTCATTTCCGCCACTCTTCATGCATGTTGATCTTTCAAATCGTATAACAGCTTAAAAGCTCCATGCATGTCAGTTTTGAGCAAAAACCATGTCATTGCATGTGTTCATATGTTCATCATACTTGGTTGAGTTTGCATGTTAGTGTTTTGGTTTAAAAATGATTTTTTCATCCCAACTCTCTACATGCATGTCTCGGCCACACTTAGATCAGAGGTAGATGTTCATTTTTCTTGTCATTCTCATATGTTTTGAATGATGGTAATGTTGATAATGAGCATGCCTTTGTAATGAATGAGTTGTTTGATGGAATAAGCATGTTTGATGCATGTGTGTGTCTCGGCCATCTCCTTATTTTGGGAAAACATGTTTTTCTTCTTGCTCTAATATGTTTGGATGTGTTAGAATGTGATTTAAAGCATGCTTGGATGATGGTTATTGCATGNATATTGATCGACAATTCGGTAGAAGATCGAGTTTAGGATTTTGACGTTCCATGAATCCATACTCGATTAGGATATCTCAATGGAGGGACTTTACCTGCATGGTACGTATGATCTGAAATGGGTTCGATGAAGTATTTCTTCATCGTGGTTTAGGGACTATGGCACATTGCTAGATGTTTACCATAGTCGTTGGGCCTCCGGACAGGTTTCTGGATTCATCCAGAACCAGCTCACGGCTAATCCATGATGGACCTACATGGTCACACCAATAGCCTTGAGAAGTTAGAGAAGGATGAGAGAGAGAGAAATGATTATCTGAAGAGGGGTAGCATCTTCCGAGGGTAATGACGAGATTTCTATGGTAATAGTTACATAGAAAATTGTTTGTGAAATTTTAAGGGTTAAAATGGTCAAGCAATAATTACTTATATTTAATTATTATATCTTAAAGCGTTAAGATTAATGAGATGAACGAAAATAATTTTTTAATAGTTAAAGGGTAAAAGGGTAAATTTATGGGTTGTTAATGTAAACTAGTTTAGTTTACATGGGCCTTTGAATAATATTGATTATTCAAAGGTTAAAATAATAAATTCGTGGGCTCTTTTTGAAATAAGATTTTATTGGGGCATGGAAATGAAAAACAACTAATTGCAAAAATTGCACAAGTATATATAAATGCAAATGGTTGTATTTTAGTTCATTATTCACTTTGTTCACTCAAAGCAAACTAAAATCTCTCTCTTTAAGCCACGACCATTCTCTAACTCACTCAAGGTGGTGTTAAAGTGTGGAGGTTTCATCATTTTGAGTCTTGTCTTCATCAACCCAAAACAAAGGAGTAGGTATAATGTTTTTCTAAGCTTTGTTTGAAAACCTTTTTTTTTTTAAATCCAACCTTTCATGCTTTCAATCTTCATTTATGCCACTCTTCATTGATCTTTCAATTTATTTAGACTTTGGAATGTCAATGCAGTAATTAGTATTATCTACATCATCACTAATAAAATTCAACCACATAACAATCACAAATATAATATGTCATTATAGTTAGACATTTAGAATGTCAATGCAATGCACCTATATAATTAGAATTGTTCACTTTTTTTAATTAATTAATAATTATAGATGGAGTAATAAATACTAATCCAATATATCAAGATAAAATAATTTGATTGGCTTGTCAATCCAATATGTCAAAATTGAGCAATTCTAGAGTTTTCAAAATATGTCACATGGCAAACAACCCGCATGGGTATTCATGAATCTTAGAGCTAAAAATATCTTATTAAACTACACAGCCAACGTGGCAAGAGAGAGCAATTCTAGAGCTCCAAAATAAAACAATTATAGAGCTAAAAGAAAAAAAGTGTCATACGTGTTACTCAAATAGGTATGCTTTTACCTTTAGATTTGGAATACCAATTCAGCAATTAATATCTCTCTACAACATCACTAATAAAATTCAATCACATAGCAACCACAAATCATATGTGTTAAAATAGAACAATTCTATGAGTTCCAAAATATGTCACATGGCGAACAACCCGCATGGGTATTCAGCTTATATATATTTTATATATATATATATATATATATANTCCTTTAAAATATAGTTAAGGTTTTAATTTGGGAAAGCAAGTTAATTCTTAAATATAAAACATAAAATAAACTCAAAAGATCAATGTCTTTTTCCCTCAAATTAGAATAAAAAGCCTAAAAAAAAAAAAAAAAAAAATTGACTACTCTCCCATCTCCATCTACTTGAACTGCGTAAGAGAATTGAAGGTTTTCTTGTTGCCTCTTTCGAAAATAATTAATGACTGATTGAGCATCCCCAAATTCTAGCTCTTTCAACCTCACTGATTGCAAGTGATTCCAACAATCTTTGGCATCAAATCCTACTGTCGCACCACCAAATATTGAGGGAACATTTCCTACTTGTATATTCTCCCTATTGAATGCCTCAGGCAGACTTTTGGCTGCTTCTGGTATATGCCTACTTGACCTCATCCCACTTCCTCTTTTGTGGAGTCACAAATCGCATATGTGCTTTGTACCCTTGTTGTATGTATTGCAACTTCAAGGTTCCGCCACCAATAACATCATTTTTGGTAACCGCAGTGTTCGAAGCAGTGTACACGCACCTCAACTAATCTTCAAAATCTTTTAAACACCCTACAAACTCAAAGGATCAGATAAGTCACAATATGGTTATTAGTCCCAAAGTTCCCAGGAACTCAATGAAATAAGCAAACTTTCTTAACTGTTAGGCCAACTTCTTGAGATTCACTAATAACATCATCTTCATTAGGGAAAGATCTATTAATCTTATCTACAATTTTCATGTCAAATTGTTTGATATCATCAGCATCAGCTTCAGCTTGTACATTCAAATTTGATCCTGCAAAATTTCATAAATTAGATTTAATTGAAAACATTAATATAATCAACATAATATTTTTTTAATTAAATAAATTTTAATTCAAAACCTTAATTTCTATAATTTCATAATTTCATAAAAAGAATACAAGATATGATTTTACATTCCAATTTAGTTTTATATAATTTAATATAAAAATTAAAATCGTAAGTATTAATTAAGACAATTAATTTTCAGCTTTCATTTTTAACAAATTTTCATTAAAAAATTTCAACATGATAATAATTTAGGAAGCAATAATGCAAACCTGACATGGAAGTATGGAGATCAACTTGCAGAGTATCATTCAGCTCAACCTTTTCAAATTCTTCAATTCAATCTTCCTCTGCTATGTCCATATTTATAAAGCATAATTAGTATCTAAACACATAACTACAAAAGAGAGCATTATTTTTATTTTTTAGTTTTTATTCTTCTATTTTTTTGTCATCTTTAACAAGAAATGTAGTTCATATATATTTTTTTTTTATCATCAAGGCTATCAGATCAGTTTGTGCACATCTCAATTAATCTTTCTAGGCTTTAGAACTATTAATGGGATAAAAACCCTAATAGTCATCTCTATTAGTATCTAAAGTATTCGAATTTAAAAGTTCATGAAACTTCTTTTTGTTCTTTTACCATCAGATCACTCACTAGTGATTAGGATAGTTAATTTTCCTTACTTTAAAAAAGAGCAAACTAAATGGGAGCAAGCAAAATTTTCAGTCATCTTTAAAAAGAAATTAAATTGTAGTTTTTTTTTTTTTTTTTTTTTAAATTTAGAAAAGAGAAAACCAAATGGGAGCAAGCAAAATTTTATCATATCTTGCCAGCTGTGAAGATGAATTGATAGGAAGAAAATTGATTTGTCAAATAAAGTTTCATGTTTTAAAGAAAAGTGACAGGTTAACGTGTTTTAAAGTAATTTGGTATCATTTGGATAAAAGGGGACCGGGTTGACCCGAAATTTGACAATGTAATCAATGAATAAAAATCGTTTTATTATAAATACATGCATTCAATATTCAATGTCTATGGAATAACTGATATGGTTGATACCTATAAATAGATTTGATTCGATCATTTGTATTATTGAGCAATTTTCAAAGAAGAAAATTCGATAGCTGTCTGCCAAATTGGGAATATGGGAATGGGAATGGAATGGTGTGGATATGGAAATTATTGTTAAAGAAAAAGGCTAAAAAAGAAAAAGGAAGATAAGCACAGGAAAGGATGGCGAGAACGCGTCATGGTGATTGGTGGGGCGTAGAACGCGGTGTGTTAATGTGGAAAAAAAATAAAAAAACACATTTAATTGACTTCTCCTCAGTTTTCGTGTCAACGGTTCGAGGGTCCTGAAGCCTCATCACCAGTCTCTTCTTCTTTCATTACACACTTGTCCTTCTCTTGCCTCTTCCTCTTCTTTCTCTTTTGTTTTCCTCTTTTTTTAGCTCCTACTATTTCCATTATTGTTTTTTATATATATATATACTTACTTCACAATTCAATTACACACCATGACCGGCAAAGAAATCCTCTATAAAATGAAGGTAATTCCTTTAAATTTAAGCCTGTTTGATCTGTTTTTTCAGTGTTGAATATGTTTGAAATTGAATTGCTTGAACTGGGTTTACTTTTATTTGTTTAAAACTGCATTTCTCACCTGGGTTTTCGATATTAAACAATTTTATCGGAAAAAATCCATCTGGGTATCTTGTGAGATCGCTTTTTTGTGTTATTCATAATGTTATTAATTAGAAAGATGTGATTTTTTTTTTTTTTTTAAATTTTTAGCTCTATATCCATTCAAGTTACTGATTTTTATATTTATTTGTTGTGATATAATCGTGTAGAGATAGATTAGAGATCCGTGAAGAATGATGTTGGTAGAATTCATATTGGACATAGAGTTTTCTTGTTCTTTTAGTATAAGCCTTTATTGTAATTTTGCTTTGAGATTTTCAGATAAGATTATGATAGCCTGTTCAATTGCATAGTTTAATTCTTCAAAATTCTATCGTTTGTGGACCTATTTCTTTGGTTTGTACGGGTAGTTATCTTTTTCTCTGTATGGATGCGAATTTTCAAATTAGAGCACTGATATATGTGGTTGGAATCAATAATAATGTTAGTGCCCATTTCATGCTTACCAACAAAAATTGCTGGGGAGAATTTGTGTGACATATGATGGTTAGAGAGAAATATGGATAAACGTTCGGTCAGTTAAATTGGATTCTTGGAATAGGCTTATTGAAACTGAAAACTAGTTAAAGATTGGCTTAAAGACACAAGTTGACATTTTTTGTAAATTGCCACTAATATTTGAGTAATTCTCATGGTGCCTTCACTAGCAAAGGACTGTAGAAGGAGGTGTATATTTTCAATGCGGTGGTTAGCTTTTAGCTTGGCTATGGTGGTTTTCTGTGGCTGATTATTTCTGCTACTTTTGAGTTTTGTTTAATTAATTAATGATTTATTTTTTTGAACATATCCTGCTTGAATATGTTCATTTCAGGAAAAAGTTGGACTAGGTTCATCTGCTGATTCTGGAAAAGGGAAGAGTAAGATGTCAAAGAACATAACACATGGCTATCACTTGGTAAAGGGAAAATCAACTCATCCTATGGAAGACTATGTTGTTGCACAGTTTAGACAAGTTGAGGACAATGAACTTGGTTTATTTGCAATATTTGATGGGCATTTGAGCCATGAAATTCCTGACTATCTGCGGACACATTTGTTTGAAACAATCTTAAATGAGGTGACATACTCTTATCTAAAATCTTGTGCTACATAATTTTGGTGCAGCATTTTGATTACTGCATTGTATCTTTTGTACATGTATTATCATGTCTCTTTCCAAGTCTACAACCATAGTGAAATGCAGTCACTATCAAAATGAAATTTAGGATGCGATATCATGTTTATTCATACAAGTACTGGGTCTAATAATCAATTACTGGACTATCACGTCTATTTGTAAGTATTTACAAGTAGTTAAAAGTATGAACCTCTGATGCTTACCATGTCTCATCATTTTCATTTGTGATTCTTCACTGATTTTATTTGCATCTTAGTTTTCGTTGTTATACTTTGTTGTAAAGGCTGCTTGCTAACAGATGACTGATATTAATAGCTTTAATTTTTTCACTTCCATTTTCAAATCAGCCTAACTTCTGGACAGAACCAGAGGCTGCAATGCGGAGAGCTTATAGCATTACTGATAATACTATTTTGGAGAAAGCAGTTGATTTGGGTAAAGGAGGTTCAACTGCGGTTACAGCAATATTGATCAACTGTCAGAAGCTGGTAGTAGCCAATCTTGGCGATTCTCGGGCAATTATATGCAAGAATGGTGTGGCCAAGCAGCTTTCAATTGATCATGAGCCAAGCATGGAAAAGGATGAGATTGAAGGCAGAGGCGGGTTTGTGTCAAACTTTCCAGGTAGATGTACTGAGAGACAGGATAATTTTCTTCCGTGTTCATCTAAATATTAGACGACAATTGCATTATTTTTTCAAGATTGCTATAGCGTTTGAAATGAGATCATTTCATGCTTTTCAAGGAGTTCCTCTATTTTTACCGATTATTCATAGTTGCTTGACATAAGTAAATTCTCTTATCTTAAAAGATTGGCTGTGTTGAGATATATATTAAAGACAGTTATGTTTGTTGGGATATAATGTTCACCATTTTAATGGTTCTCTAACTCGTAGGCATTCTATGTTTTCTTATGAAAACGTTAGGATGACAATTTTTTTTTTCGTTTGGGGGTAAATTCAGGAGATGTTCCGCGAGTTGATGGACAGTTGGCAGTGGCAAGAGCATTTGGTGACAAGAGCTTGAAAAAACATCTCAGTTCAGAACCAGATGTGGAAGTAGAGATGATTGATAATGATACAGAGTTCATTATCTTGGCAAGTGATGGATTATGGAAGGTAATTCCTCTTTGAATTTCTGGAAATTGCTACCTTTGATTTACTTCTACTGCTTGCAAACTATGCATTGAATAAAATTGACAAAGAATGAAGAATCTTAATACCGGATTCAACCCCGACATTTTTACTCTGTATTGTACCCTGACGTCGACTAATCTGATACCAGGTAATGTCAAACCAAGAAGCAGCAGATGCCATCAAGAATATAAAGGATGCTCGGTCTGCAGCGAAGCATCTTACTGAAGAGGCGCTAGCTAGAAACAGCTCGGATGACATTTCCGTTATAGTTGTAAGATTTGGGTGAGATGCAAGCCAGTTTATACTTCTGTTCGATAAAAATCTCCACCAGTGTGTTATTACCCTTGGTAGAGTAATGAGCAATCTCAATACCTTGTGCCATAAAAGAATACTTTTGTGTTCGCCTCATCAATGTTATATATTTTGGCAAAATGGCATTAAATTGTATAATATTTCTTGTTCAAACATACTGTTCCTCTGGTTGACCGATTATGGAAAACATTGAGCTTGTAGTTTTGCACTTTTGCTTATATGGTGTTGCCTTTGTAGCTGTGTTGAAACTTTGATAATTGTAAACAAGAATCAAGGAGGAATAAAGCAATAACTTCTAAAAGAAAAGGATGATGAACAGTATGTGAAAACAACACCAGTAAGCTGTAAAACAATCAAATAAATAAAACCCAGATATTATGGTCCCCCAAGATCATCAATCATGCAGTAGCCAAGCAAATTTGGAAAATTGATCCACCCTCTTTTCCAACAAGTTTGTCCATCTTAGACTTTTAACGGCCATTTCATAATATTGACAGCAACTTGACGCTGAGTCCACCGACTTTAGACATTGAAGTTGAAGGTAGAAGTAGGCCATCCAAGCACACAGAAAATATTAAATAATTATAAGTTCGTTTAAGAAAATGCACAGCTGGGAGATTCATAAGTATCGATACTAAATTTATCTCCATAGAGATAAAACACATTAAATAGCCATGTGACATTCTTGTGTGTGTTACATAGACATTTTATTTCTTCGTACACAGCTTGGAAACAACTGCAAAAAAGCTGTGGGGTGACAGAAGAGAGTGAGCGTGCCAGCATGACAAAGCAGAAAGCTATGCTTATTTGATCTGTGAACGTTTGGAAGGGGTGTTATTCCCTTGGAGAGGCATCTGCATCTGAACTCTGCCTCTTTCGTCACCCTGCTTACACCGACTTTCCTTTGCCTGAGGATTGACACCTTTTCGACTTGATGAACCTTCACCGATCATTTCAGCTGAGGTCTTCCTACGTCTCTCGTTGTGACCAGCCAGACGCCGGCGACAGCTCCTTTTTGCTTCATCAAATTCAGATAGCTCATGGAACCTGCAAATATATATACGATGAAGTGATTTACATTAGATATTGAAAAAGTAAACAGTGTTTGAACAATGTACACCACTATTTGTCTTTAAGGTAGTTTTCTTAGATAAGTCCAAGGAAAAGCTTATCTTAACCTAAACAAATGTCCATTTTACATCAGCTAAATTTTTCCTGAGAGTGAAGTAGTCTAATTTTGGATCTGCCTTTTTCCTTTCTTTGGTAAAAATAGTGTAAGTTAGATTCTGGTGATTAATTTGTAAGAAACTTCCCCTGAAGTTCATTAAATTTATGTAATATTTATAATAACTGATGTATAGCTTTTTTCAGCTAATATAAAAGTGATACTGCTTCTGAAAGTAATCAAAATACTTTTGAATTTCTAAAAAAAGACACAGAAACAGGAGTTCATAGCAGAAAGACAACAAAAGAAATACTAGGAATCATGTACCTGCTGCATTGCTGACAAAACCTTTGCCTGAGACCAGACACAATGACAACAGGAGCCTTGGAATGAAGCTCACACACCTTGTGGCGCTTGTGGTAGCGTTTTGCATCAGTTAAATCAGCTCCACACTTCTCAACAAGGCAACAAGGCGGCGACACCCCACCACCACCACTACCAGACCCTCTTCTTCCCATCACTTTCTTCTTCTTTTCATCGTCTGCATACCCATACCCATACCCATACCCATCACCACCACCACCCTCTTCTTCTTCCTCCATGTCATTGTCAATATCTTCTTCGCAATCAATGCTCATCTTTTCTTTCAACGAACGCATAGCTTGAAGGCTTGTAACATCCATTGCACAAGGTGCTTTCACAACACAGCTATATATGGTGAATAGGATGAAGCAAAATGAAGAAATTTGAAGTGATGAAGGTGCAGAATGTGTTAAGAAAAAGGTGAAAAAGATAGAAGAGTAGGACCACTAGCTAGCAACATTTTCTTTTTTCTTGTGTGTACTGATAATGTAACTGATTAGAAGGTCAAAAACTGTTACTGACAATTCAAGTTATTCACAAAGTTATAATGCTTATTTGTTCATTATTACTGTTAATACCAAGGCATGTACTATGAGAAACATAATTAATAAACAATTGTCTTTTTGCCATATTGGTTATTTCTGAATTCTGGTGAATGCATGGATGAAATAGGGTTGTGAAAACATTACCAGAAGAAAGAAAAAAAAAATAATAAAGATGGATGTCTTTTAAGATTTTAACAGAGAGCTTTTTGAGTCACTGAAAAGTACCCTATTCTTTCATATTACCAATCATGCAGACTGTAAACCAAGGTAAATGAAAAGAGACGAACCAACTCTGCGGCAGGTTTGAAAACTTGGGAAAGTTTTATATGTAATTTCTACTGCAAGGACAACCTTGAGAGAGACATATCAGATTTCATTTAACTCCTTCCTGTAAAGCACCATTGCTTGTAAATAAATTCTGGCTCTCTTTGAGTTGGACAAGTAGGTAAAATATCAGAGTACCCTATGCTTTTCTACATTCAAAATAGCCTATAGATTTACAGTTTTTAGTCCTTGCTTTATTCCCTTTTTCAACTTTATCATCTCATGTCCTTACCAAATTTGAAATTAGTAGCTCCGTGATGAAAAAAGAAATATATAGTTTCATGCATATATATAAATGATTCCGTCAATTTTGTATTTGTATTTGCATCAATCAAATGAATTTCATCTCTGTGGTGTATGGCAAAATCTGTAAGCAGGAAAGACAGGATTAATGACACTGACCCAACACAAGATTTCACATGGCCATTGTACTAATTCCTCATGAAAAATAATGCATAAAGTTTACAGTGAGAGAAATATTAACTCAAAATTTCTGGAGACAAACAGAGTGACAGAGAGATAGCAGTTTCCCCTATTTATAAAATTTCTGATTGGTCAAGTAGTTGTAGAAATTGAAATGTTCTAGGGCTAGTGCCAATCACCATCATCACAATGCCACATTATCTTGGCATCTTTTTATGTGATCGTTACTTTTAATTCAATTTCCATAAGGCAATGGAACATGCCCTTAATCTTTCTAGCAAATTTCACATTTAGACAGTCCTATAATCAATTAATCTACCAGATTTGACAACATCAGAAAAAACTGCTTTCTTTTAGAGTAATTACTTGAAAATATATGTAAAGCTTGAGAGTTACATAAAGAAACAATGATGTTTCTCTCATGTCAAGATACCCTTTTGTCCATTTCAACCAAACAAGAAAACACAGCTAAAAAAAGTGCTTTCAATGATAGGAGTCAATAATCTAAAATGTATTCATTAATCAGTAGAATTAGTTGATTGAAAATATCTATGCAACCCATTATAGATAAGAATCGAAACCATTTACTGGAAATAGAATTGTTTTTTAGCCAAATAAACATCACCATGAATCTGCTCAGGACCATGTCCATGAGGCTCCAAAAAACTCCATCTACCTTTCACCTCCTCACTCCTCCGCGTCGCTCTTTTCATTTATAAAGAAAGAAAAGATAAAAATGGCACACGTCACAAAAGTTTTATACCTGGATTTTGATTATTACTATATAAAGTGCCCATCGCTCTCACCATTGAGTTGTATTTTGGTCCAAAGTTGCTTGTGGATTCTTCTGTTTCTATTTATGCACCAAGTGCTGTCACCTTATAGGTGCAATTCATTTATTCTTCACATATCTTCAATTTTTGTTTTCTTTTTCCCCCTTTACAAAGAAGACAAAACTCCCTAAATTCTTTCCATTTGGTTAATGTATATATGTTAACCTATACCCTGAAAAAATATAAGATGAAGAAGACCAAAAACTTCGTTGTTGAACCATCTAGACAGCTGTTTGGATAGATGTTTCTTTTGAAGGTCTTTGTCAGTCTTTATTTTTTAAAAGATGGATGAAATACTGATTTCCCAGGTCACCCACCCTAGCTTAACTTTGGAGTTCTGATAGGATCCAGTAAGTCCTCCGATCACCCATCCTAGCTCGCTTAAACACGCTTAACTTCAGAATTTTGATGGGATCCAAACCCTTTTGTCAGTTGTTGTTGGTTGGTAGGTTTATGCAAAAATGTAAATAGATGAAAATGATCTCATTTACAGACAAAATGCAGATATTTTGAGTTCAAAAACTGTAGATAAATTAGTTACCTAACATCATCTCTATTTGGTCCTTTTCCCTTGGCCATAAAATCTATTCCTTGGCTTTATCTTCCATTGCTTTCATACCGCATTTTATCACTCTTTGTATGTGTTATTTCGGAATTTATCCAGAGCAGGTTTTGGCTAGAAAACAGACAGCTAGCGTATCTGATTCTTTTTTCCATTGTGGCAAATGGACAAAATTTTAGCCACTTTGTATCAAAAGGATCTTAATGCACAAATGCAACAACTGGAAAAGACACGACTTTGAAACACTTCAATCTCCTCCTCCTACCCTTGATTAAAATGGAAAACTACAAAATCTCCCATCTGTAAGTCCTCAAAAACCTTAACTTTTAATTATTGATTTCCCTTTTTTTCTTATTATTTAAGTTGTAAAAGTTATGACATATGGAGATGAAACATTACATTACGTTGCATTTATGTATATTTTACAATGTGGATATGCATTATAATTAAGCAAAATGAAAACCAGAATCATTTAACCATAGTGGACCTTATCATATCCTCCTGCTTTATTCACTTCTTCGATGCTTCTATATTCTTGAGTATCAATGGGATCATCAATCTTATGGACCTCAAGAACTGCTGGATCCTCATGAATGTTATAATCATCATAATAATCATCATCATCAACACCTACTGTTTTCTTGTCATACTAGGAATCATGTACCTGCTGCATTGCTGACAAAACCTTTGCCTGAGACCAGACACAATGACAACAGGAGCCTTGGAATGAAGCTCACACACCTTGTGGCGCTTGTGGTAGCGTTTTGCATCAGTTAAATCAGCTCCACACTTCTCAACAAGGCAACAAGGCGGCGACACCCCACCACCACCACTACCAGACCCTCTTCTTCCCATCACTTTCTTCTTCTTTTCATCGTCTGCATACCCATACCCATACCCATACCCATCACCACCACCACCCTCTTCTTCTTCCTCCATGTCATTGTCAATATCTTCTTCGCAATCAATGCTCATCTTTTCTTTCAACGAACGCATAGCTTGAAGGCTTGTAACATCCATTGCACAAGGTGCTTTCACAACACAGCTATATATGGTGAATAGGATGAAGCAAAATGAAGAAATTTGAAGTGATCAAGGTGAAGAATGTGTTAAGAAAAAGGTGAAAAAGATAGAAGAGTAGGACCACTAGCTAGCAACGTTTTCTTTTTTCTTGTGTGTACTGATAATGTAAATGATTAGAAGGTCAAAAACTGTTACTGACAATTCAAGTTATTCACAAAGTTATAATGCTTATTTGTTCATTATTACTGTTAATACCAAGGCATGTACTATGAGAAACATAATTAATAAACAATTGTCTTTTTGCCATATTGGTTATTTCTGAATTCTAGTGAATGCATGGATGAAATAGGGTTGTGAAAACATTACCAGAAGAAAGAAAAAAAAAATAATAAAGATGGATGTCTTTTAAGATTTTAACAGAGAGCTTTTTGAGTCACTGAAAAGTACCCTATTCTTTCATATTACCAATCATGCAGACTGTAAACCAAGGTAAATGAAAAGAGACGAACCAACTCTGCGGCAGGTTTGAAAACTTGGGAAAGTTTTATATGTAATTTCTACTGCAAGGACAACCTTGAGAGAGACATATCAGATTTCATTTAACTCCTTCCTGTAAAGCACCATTGCTTGTAAATAAATTCTGGCTCTCTTTGAGTTGGACAAGTAGGTACAATATCAGAGTACCCTATGCTTTTCTACATTCAAAATAGCCTATAGATTTACAGTTTTTAGTCCTTGCTTTATTCCCTTTTTCAACTTTATCATCTCATGTCCTTACCAAATTTGAAATTAGTAGCTCCGTGATGAAAAAAGAAATATATAGTTTCATGCATATATATAAATGATTCCGTCAATTTTGTATTTGTATTTGCATCAATCAAATGAATTTCATCTCTGTGGTGTATGGCAAAATCTGTAAGCAGGAAAGACAGGATTAATGACACTGACCCAACACAAGATTTCACATGGCCATTGTACTAATTCCTCATGAAAAATAATGCATAAAGTTTACAGTGAGAGAAATATTAACTCAAAATTTCTGGAGACAAACAGAGTGACAGAGAGATAGCAGTTTCCCCTATTTATAAAATTTCTGATTGGTCAAGTAGTTGTAGAAATTGAAATGTTCTAGGGCTAGTGCCAATCACCATCATCACAATGCCACATTATCTTGGCATCTTTTTATGTGATCGTTACTTTTAATTCAATTTCCATAAGGCAATGGAACATGCCCTTAATCTTTCTAGCAAATTTCACATTTAGACAGTCCTATAATCAATTAATCTACCAGATTTGACAACATCAGAAAAAACTGCTTTCTTTTAGAGTAATTACTTGAAAATATATGTAAAGCTTGAGAGTTACATAAAGAAACAATGATGTTTCTCTCATGTCAAGATACCCTTTTGTCCATTTCAACCAAACAAGAAAACACAGCTAAAAAAAGTGCTTTCAATGATAGGAGTCAATAATCTAAAATGTATTCATTAATCAGTAGAATTAGTTGATTGAAAATATCTATGCAACCCATTATAGATAAGAATCGAAACCATTTACTGGAAATAGAATTGTTTTTTAGCCAAATAAACATCACCATGAATCTGCTCAGGACCATGTCCATGAGGCTCCAAAAAACTCCATCTACCTTTCACCTCCTCACTCCTCCGCGTCGCTCTTTTCATTTATAAAGAAAGAAAAGATAAAAATGGCACACGTCACAAAAGTTTTATACCTGGATTTTGATTATTACTATATAAAGTGCCCATCGCTCTCACCATTGAGTTGTATTTTGGTCCAAAGTTGCTTGTGGATTCTTCTGTTTCTATTTATGCACCAAGTGCTGTCACCTTATAGGTGCAATTCATTTATTCTTCACATATCTTCAATTTTTGTTTTCTTTTTCCCCCTTTACAAAGAAGACAAAACTCCCTAAATTCTTTCCATTTGGTTAATGTATATATGTTAACCTATACCCTGAAAAAATATAAGATGAAGAAGACCAAAAACTTCGTTGTTGAACCATCTAGACAGCTGTTTGGATAGATGTTTCTTTTGAAGGTCTTTGTCAGTCTTTATTTTTTAAAAGATGGATGAAATACTGATTTCCCAGGTCACCCACCCTAGCTTAACTTTGGAGTTCTGATAGGATCCAGTAAGTCCTCCGATCACCCATCCTAGCTCGCTTAAACACGCTTAACTTCAGAATTTTGATGGGATCCAAACCCTTTTGTCAGTTGTTGTTGGTTGGTAGGTTTATGCAAAAATGTAAATAGATGAAAATGATCTCATTTACAGACAAAATGCAGATATTTTGAGTTCAAAAACTGTAGATAAATTAGTTACCTAACATCATCTCTATTTGGTCCTTTTCCCTTGGCCATAAAATCTATTCCTTGGCTTTATCTTCCATTGCTTTCATACCGCATTTTATCACTCTTTGTATGTGTTATTTCGGAATTTATCCAGAGCAGGTTTTGGCTAGAAAACAGACAGCTAGCGTATCTGATTCTTTTTTCCATTGTGGCAAATGGACAAAATTTTAGCCACTTTGTATCAAAAGGATCTTAATGCACAAATGCAACAACTGGAAAAGACACGACTTTGAAACACTTCAATCTCCTCCTCCTACCCTTGATTAAAATGGAAAACTACAAAATCTCCCATCTGTAAGTCCTCAAAAACCTTAACTTTTAATTATTGATTTCCCTTTTTTTCTTATTATTTAAGTTGTAAAAGTTATGACATATGGAGATGAAACATTACATTACGTTGCATTTATGTATATTTTACAATGTGGATATGCATTATAATTAAGCAAAATGAAAACCAGAATCATTTAACCATAGTGGACCTTATCATATCCTCCTGCTTTATTCACTGCTTCGATGCTTCTATATTCTTGAGTATCAATGGGATCATCAATCTTATGGACCTCAAGAACTGCTGGATCCTCATGAATGTTATAATCATCATAATAATCATCATCATCAACACCTACTGTTTTCTTGTCACTTTCAGCACCCTCTCTGGCTGCTTTCCAAGCACCATCCATTGTTTTCTTAGCGGTGTCTCCAACATTTTCCGCCATATCCACTGCCTTCTTTACTCCCTTTTTAGCTGTATCTGCTACAAACCCTGTTGGACCACTCGCTCTTCCCTCGTCCACATCAAGGGCTTCTTGTTTTGCTTCATACATTCCTTGACCTATGGGATCATTTGATGTCCTTGTTGTTTCTGCCACCGCATTGCTTCCCTGCATTTTTTAATCATATATTTTGGTTATACTAAGGTTACTTACCATGAAAGTTATAAGAATATGTATAGAGCATTTTTAATAAAACTGAATATAAATAACTTGCAAAGCTGATAAACATTATTACTATATTCTTAAAGAGCTAGAAACACATGAAAACTAAATAGAAAAAACAATAACAACAACAATAATAATAATAAGAGTGGGAAGAAATACTTCAGCACGTTCATAAGCAGTGGAGAGGAAACGAGTTGCAGATTGGAAACAATTGGGGAAGTCTCTAGCTGAAGTTTTAGAAACCCTCTTTGCCAAGAATAATATTGCCGCCATTTTCAACTTGTTTCAAGTTCTTTCTGTTGTCAAAGTCTATATTTTCACTTTCATATATATACACCTGATACTAAAGTGCTTAATCTTCCTCACCGATTTGAAGTTAATACACAGAGAGACAGATAATGGAAGGGTCAAGTTCTCTGACAGACACATGGATATGGTGGTTGACACGTTCTAAACATACAAAAGTTTACTGCTCTGAGTCTTTGACTAGCTAATCTTATTGCTCAACACTTGTTCATCCACATTTTTTGATAACTATGTTTATTTATTGCAGAGTTCTGGCTTTACTCCACATTGCTCTGAATCTTTCTTATTGGTCCATTGGGCTTGTACAAATTCCCTAGATGTGCTGGATCTTGGTCTCATGAATGATTTTGATCCCGGCCCAATTTTTTTGGAACAACATGAAATCAAAAGAATAGTTTTATTTTTTTTATTTTTTTTTTTAATTTAAAATCTCGGAAATCTTTGGTACTTGCTTAACAAGCTCGAATGCGAAACTAGAGTGTATGCCAAACTTTTTTATTTGTTTTTAGGTATCTAAGGTATTCAGGCCCAACATTAGAGTCTGTCTAATCTTCAAAATCACAGAACACCCTACAAGTTCGAAGAACCAAGGTAATTGTACAAATGTGATAGATGCCTCTCCCATGACTCGAACACAAGACTCTCTAGGTATAACTAACTTCAATGGTTAAAAGGTTTATCATCCTACCACAAGAGGAAATGTGTGTCTGCCAAACTTTACAATCTTTGGAAAATTAGAAACACTCATCAAACTTTATAATTTTTGGAAAATGACAAACAATGAGCACTTATCTTAAATCTTGCAATCTTTAGGAAACAAAAAACAATAACCTTTAGACATGCAGATCCTTAAAGAGGGCTCAAACCTAAAGCCTTATTGAAGCGAGATAAAATAGAAAGAATAGTTAGATAAACAATAAATTGAAAAGGTTTTATGTATTAGTAACGAGAGGTATTTAAAGTATTTATAATGAAAGTGAATATGGTAAGATTTTATTGGTCCTAATATATATAATATAATATAATAAGTGAATCTTATCAATATGTCTGTGTGTTGTGAAGACTAAAAAACAAGAGAAAAAAGAGGATTCAATCATCAATGTGGTGAGAAAGAAGCAGCTATCCATGATCCATCCATCAATAGAAAACATATTTCTTTCATTGTTGTGAACAGTTGCAGGGGAATCTTGAAACATCAACTTCATTTGAAAAGCAACAAACACCTTACAAAAATGTTTTATTTGCTTTCAGAGATAATCAAGTCAAAAAAGAGGATATCTTTGTCCCAACTCTCAAACTAATGCAATTGATACATAACAACTCCAACCCTCCTCCCAAGAAAAGTTTGAAAACAAAAATAAAATCATCCACACAAAGAAAAACAGCTTTAAACAAACTTTCTTCATGTCACAATTCAACTAAAATTTACCAAAGTCCAAGCTTTGGTAGCAAGGAAGAAAATTCAATCCATGATTAGCAAAAGGGATTCTTTTCCACTGATGGGAAATAGTTAAATTTGTCTGAAAACCTTTTTTTGTGTTAGAGTAGAACCTCTGTCAAGCTTTTTGAGAAAAACAGTTTAAAACATGAAAAATGGGATTTTATTCTTTTCTGAGAAGCAAGCCATTGCACATTGTCATTGTGTTTAATATGAAAGGTTAACATAAAAAATGAGTAAAATGAAATCTTGTACATGGTTTAGCCGCTACTGTTGACTATGGGGATGAAATATTGCTTCTGCTTTGTATTGAATAATTGAACACAGCTAAACAATGACCTGGAAATTGCCCAAATTAAAGTTTATTGTAGAGCTTTTGACTTTAGAGAAATGCAGCTGGAGAAGATGAATCAAAAATTACTTGAACAATGAAGTTTACTCAGTAGAACGGCTTGAAACTTTAATTTGTCAGTATAGTTTAATCTAAGTCAATCCAATACTTATGTGAATGGAGCATCGGATGCATGGTTGCAGGATAATGCCTGGCAATATACAGATAGTTCAAAATTATAACACAGAGGAAGGCTTCCATTTTTACATTGAACAAGAATTGAGGAAAAAAAAAAATCTGGACTTTATATGATGCTTATTTAAAGTAAAATAAATAGACAAAATAGCCTATGTATACAACATTTATCTGTCAGTACAGAGAACTCTAGGATTGTTGTTTTACAGGAAACCAAAGTCACTTTGGTCAAGATTCATATCAACCTTGTAGAAACTTGGAAGATGAGTGTTGCTTTACAGGTATACCACTGTACCCCCCAATGCGAACTTACACAGGAATGAATTTCATTGCTGAGCAGGCTCGGTTGTGATACCACGAAGCGATGAAACAACTTCTTCGATCAAGGGTCTCTGCTTTGGATCCCGGTCTAGACATTTACATGCAATTTCGAGCATGTCTAAGAGCTGCTTCTCGCGATCCTTGTCCCAGATTGAAGGATCTATGATCTCTGACTCCCTTTTTTCGGACTTCATCTGAAACACCCATGAAACTAAATCCCTACAGTTTTTCCCTTTGCAAACTTCAACAGGTCTTCTACCAGTAAGAAGCTCTAGTAGAACAACACCAAAACTGTAAACATCACCCCTGCATGTTGCTGTTAATGTCTGACTGTATTCTGGAGGAATATAACCTAAAGTGCCAACCAAATCTGTTGTGACATGAGTATCATAAGGCCGAAGTAGTCTTGAGAGACCAAAATCAGCCAAATGAGCTTCGAATTTTTCATCCAAAAGAATGTTGCTGGTTTTTACATCTCGGTGAACAATATGTGGCTCACATACCTTGTGCAAGTAAGCTAATCCATTAGAAGCACCTTGAGCTATCTTGACTCTAACATCCCATTTAAGAATTGAATCCTTATCAACACACTCATGAAGCCAATAATCCAAGCTACCATTCTCCATGTAAGAGTAAATCAACAATCTATCACTTCCATGCCGACAATAACCTTGAAGAGAAACAAGGTTTTTATGCTGAGCTCTTGAGAGGGCTTCCACTTCTGCTTGGAATTCACGTTCCATTTGACCACAATCCCCAGAAAGCCTCTTGATTGCAGCTTTTGTTCCGTTGGGCAAGTTGGCTTTGTAAACCAGGCCAAACCCACCACAACCAATTATGTTTGCCTGGTTAAAATTGTTTGTAGATTTCAACAAGTCTGCACAAGTAAGATCCTTACAATCTGAGTTCTGGAAAAGCACCAATCTCGAAGAACCACGTCCTTCAGATAATCTGCGTGGCCGGCTCAGTTCTTCATCTAGATCATCAATTTGGTCCTCCTCATCCCTCTTTGACAACTTCAGCAGAGCAACTGCAAGGAGGATTGCTATCCCAATTCCTATGCTGAATGTTATGCCAATGATGGTGCCTCGACCAATTTTACTGTTTGAACCAGATGGAATTCCAGGCTTCAGCTTACTGTCTTTAGAACCACAAGGAGAATCTACTCCTCCGCAAAGACCAGGGTTACCCTCAAAGCTTGAAGCAGGAAAGCTATAAAACTGTCCTGCGGATGGAATTGCTCCCTGCAAGTGATTGTATGCGACACTAAACTTTGACAGGAATGTGAGTTTATAAAATGATGGGGGGATAGACCCAGTTAGATCATTGAATGAGAGGTCTAATACTTCCAAGTTCGCCATCTCTGAAATGGAACTGGGGATGGGCCCAGAAATGTTGTTCCTGCTCAAATCCAGGCCATGGAGCTGCTTCAGACGTCCAATTTCAGGTGGGATTGTCCCATTTATTCTATTATTACTTAAGTATATTGATGGAGGGAAACTCGATGCCTGGTGGTACTGAAGACCATTAGCACTCTGGTTTCGCTTCACATATAGTGGAATGCCAATAGAAGCAGTGACGTTGGAAGAACCACAATTATTAGAAATGAGGCTCTTGAGCTCTGCCAATTTTCTTGGGATTTCACCTGTAAGAGAGTTATTTGAGAAGTCCAAATAAAACAAATTCTCCATCTGACCAATCCAAGGAGGGATACTGCCATCCAGGTGATTCCATGACAAATCCAGCACTTGTAACTTCTTGCAACTCAACAACCAAAGAGGGATGTGGCCTTTAAGGCCACAATTTCCAAGTGCTAAAACCATCAAGCTCTCAAACCCACTAACATTTTCCGGAATTTTCTCACCAATGAAATTCTTTGTAAGTATAACAATGGTGAGATTTTTGCACTGCTGCAGCACACTAAGTGCCCTAGGTAAGTCCACAAAACTATTGTTTGACAATGAGAAAAAGAAAAGGGACGTTAGCTTTGTGAAACTCTCAGGGATTTGGCCACTTAAATAATTTTTGGCTAAGCTCAAAACTTTCAATTCACGGCAATCAGATAGAGAATTTGGAAGGAGCCCAGAGAAATGATTAGAGGCAAGGTCAAGAGTACAAAGACTAGGTAATCCAGTGAAATTAAGATCAATCTGACCAGTTAATGAATTGTTTCGAAGGTCAAGTACATGGAGCTTTGAGCACAGAGCCAGACTCGAAGGCAATTGCCCAGAAAATGAATTTGAGGATGCATCTAAGATTTCTAGGTTTGTAAGGTTTCCAAACACATCAGGAATTCGACCTGACAACTGATTTCCAGAAATAATCAAGAATTTAAGGCTAGTGAGCTTACTCAAATTATCCTTCAATAGGCCATAGAAATGATTTTCAGAGAGTGTGAGTTGCTGCAAGGATGACAAGGAATACAAGGCATCCGGAAGAACGCCCGCAAGTGAATTGGAATCCAGATGTAACTCTTTCAGAGAGGAGCTGCAATTCTCTAAGCCTTCAAGCTTGCCCCCAAAACGATTCATCGAAAAATCAAGAATCTGAATCCCATTTGAGGCTCTCCAGATTTTGGAATTAAGACTGCCAGTGAATGAATTGTTGCTTAAGTTGAACACAGCAAGATTCGGAAATTCCCCAAGCTCTGACAAGTCCCCATTGAATGAATTACCAGAAACATTCAATGACCGAATCATCTTCAAACCAGAAAGCACCCCTGAAACTGGTCCTGATAGATTGTTGTGGCTCAAATCAAGAACTTCCAGCTGCTTCAAATTTGACAACTCGACAGGTAATACCCCTTCTAGATGATTGAAAGAAAGATCAAGCGATTTCAGCTGATCCAATCCAGCTATTGAGCGCGGAATCAACCCTTTCAAACCCTTTCTCGTCAGCTTCAACATGACCACTCTACTTGGAACTGATACATTACTCTGGTCACCACAAACAACTCCAACCCACTGACAGCAAATGGAATCCCTAGACCATGATGTAAAAATAGACCCATTTGAGAAGCTTTTGGCAAAATTTTCCAGCGCCAACAAATCACTTCGATCACACACTTGGTTTTGGGTTGTGAGACCCAGAGAGGAATAAACAAAGCAGGCAAACAATATCCATTTGAAGCAAATCAAAGGAATAAATCCCAGCACCACCATTGCTGAAACCAAAGAACTTCAACCTAAAAATCAAGCTAATACAACCATAAGAGTTACTTCACTCTTGATATTGTTTGAGAAAGCACAGCTTTTAAGATGCAAAGAAGAGTTCCAAATGAAGAAACTTAGCATTCCCACACCATAAAAGAACACCAAAATCCCCCACTTGCAACTTAAGAATGAAACAACAATGTGAAGACTCACTAAATCAAGAAGATCACTAATCCCACCTGAAACCAAATCCCTAGACCAAAATTAAGAAACTTAGAACTTGTTCAATATGAAAGAGTTAATTAAATAAAAACTACCCCGTGTATAGAAAGCAAACGTGCAAATCAAGATAATTGAAAACCTTAAGGACTAACGAACAACAACTTGGAAGTGCAACAAAAACACTTACCATAAAAGAATCGTGAATTAATCATCAAAACCACTAAGGCCCCAACTGAGAGATATATATATATATGTATATAACAAGTCCCCACCAGATATAAAAACCTTGACCAAAATTAAGAGACCCTAAAAAAGGCTAAGCACCATCACTCAAAGAGATGAATGAAACAGACTCAAAGAAGAAACCTTCAAACCCGGAAAAAGGAAGGAGTACGCACATGTTTTCCAACTTAATCAAGAGATAAAACTAAATCGAGATCCCCCCAAAAATAAAGTACAGATTTGAAAGGGTAGGAAACACATGCAGGAGACGATGAAGGGCAATAAAGAGAGAAACTTTAACGGTCTAAAACCCAAAACAAAAATGACCCAGGAAGTAACATCACTTGTAAGTGAAGTAAGAGTCTCCTGTGAACCCAACATGAATAGTTAAAACTTTTTCGCCACAAATGGGGTTTTTTATAATTTCAAAACAAGACGTCTCCCTAATGTTCAAACCCAGAAAATACATACATATGACAGAATCCAGAGGAAAGTAAAAGGAGTTAAAGAGTTAAAGAAAGAAAGAAAGAAAATAAAGAGACGATATTTCAAATCAAAAGGAACAGTAGGGACAAAGAAGGAACATCGATTGTTCAAGGGGTTGGATTATTAGTGGGGGGTTTGAAATGAAATGGAGAGAAATAAGCTGACTTTTTGGACAAGTTTTACTTTGGATTTGGCTTCTTTCTTCCTTCACAGTTAACAACTGAGTTTGAGTTAAGTGGGTTTTCGTTTTCTCTCTCTGCCTTCGATTGTCAATCTCAATCCTCAGTACCTACATTTGTCTGTTTCTCTCTTGGAAAAAGCTTCCACTGTTTACTTGATACTCTTTTTCTCATTTCTTGCTTCCCTCTTTCTACCACTCTTCCCCATCTCCACAACGTGCGCGTGCTCACACCTTCTCTCTATACGTGAAATATATTAACAATTAAAAAGATAAAAATACACTTACAACTTAATCTTATATTTTTTTCACACGATCCTTAATATGATAACTTATAATTAATTAGCTTATAAATAAATCCCGTTTATTTGTTATAGGTCATATCTGTTTAATTACGAGCTGACCAATTGCGAACAATCACGTTGAAGTTGTGAAAAAAAATTTGTAAGATTGGATTATGAATCAATTTTTATTGTAATAGTTATGACAAAATTCTTATCCTAAATTATGTATCACTCTAAAGATTGTGAAAAACACTGTGATAATAGATTAGAGTGTTCCAATTAGTATTAGAGTCAATCCCAATTACGAGTGTGTTAATCCCTAGAGTTGCTCATAAATGATATCAACGAGAAAACTAAATTCCAAAGGTGATGAAATTTGAGATCCCATACTTGAGAAGGGAAAGTGAAAGGTCATTTGCATACCATGTGTAGGGGTGTCAACCGAACCAAGCCAAGCTGAGTTGCTCGCGAGCAGCTCGAGCTCGACTCGGCTTTAGTGTCAAGTCGAGTTTGAGCCAGTCAGATTTTGGCTCAACTCGACTTGACTTGAGCCTGAAAAACTCGATTGGAAAAGCGAAAAAATCGAGAATTAGAGAGTTTTTTTTCTTTTTTTTTTTGAAGCTCGAACTCGAAACTGTAACAAATAACCTGAGTTTGATTAGCCCAAAACTCAGCTCGGCTCAACTTGTTACACCCTTATGTGAGCTACTACGTACAATGTTTTGGGTTGAAGTCAAGTAGACAATATTTTGCAATTAGTGGGTTGTTTCAATAAGCTTAGACACTTTATTTACATGTTAATATAGGATATTATATCACTTAAGATGAGATTTTTAAGATATTTTTTTTATAATATTATTATTTTTTTTCATATATACAATTGGGATTCATAATCTAAAATAATAAAAATCTATAATATAAATAATCATTTTAAGTACCTTAATACATACATGGCTATGTACAGAATATTAAAGAAGATCAGTCACTTTTAATCTTTTATAGTGAGATATAACAAGATTTGGTTTAATTTAGTAAGATTTTGTTTAATTTTTGGCAAGTTTCTTAATTAAGCATAAATTTATAGTTTATGTTGAGAAATGTTTAATAAATTTGGAAGAATATTTTGAAAGGCAAGTTTAGCTAACCTTTTATAACCATTGTCTATAATAGGAGAGACTTTCATTAAGATAAAAAAATATAGAGAAAGATTCTCTCTAGTCTATAAAATATAATTATAATAATAAAAAGGTGTTTTGAGATATCTTTAAGATATATTTCAAACCAAAAATATTTAATCAAATTTCTGGAAACATTTAAAAGATGTTTTTCTATAATATATTTGATATTTAATATTTTTTTTCTTTTTTATTTCAATCAAACAACGGCTACAATTGAAAATAATTTATTAAAACGAAAAAAAATTGGATGCATAAGGCATGTGAACACGCGCCTATATAGGAGGTGATGATAGAAAAGAAAAGAAGAAAAAAGGTCAAAGGGATGACTGGTTATAGGCGGTGGAATGAGCGGCGGTAGGCGAACGTCACGGGCAAATAGCGTAACAAGTGAATGAAAATAGATTTGGTTTGCAACTGGCTTGTCGGGTCAACCACTCCTATCCATCCATCTCTCGTTTGCATGTGAATTTGTGAACTCGCCAAACCCAACTTTTTGTTTTTTTGTTTTAATATATGATTCTATAATCCGTTAATTGTGATGATTTTATTATTTAAAAAATGAGAATATTTTTCTTTTTGATATTATTTTAAGTTTTAAAAGATTATATTCTAACGAGTAATTCGATAAAAACTTTTAGATATATTATTAAAAAGTCTTGAGTTCAAATTTTTTTTAAGTTGTTAATTAAGATAACTACTAGAATTTTTATCCTGTTAATAACTATAAGGTTTTGAGAGATTACTTGAGACACGTGTATATTGATTCAAACAAAAAGATATATTTTACATTTAGACTATCTATTTATGTTTAACTATAATTATATTAAGAGGGAGTATATCTCAATATTATGAATTGCAAGACTTGCACTAGTAAACATGGGATAAATAAATTAACTTAAGCTTACTCTCTCCTTGAGTAATTTCATCTCCAAATCAAATCAATTGATTTTCGTGACAATATGCATAAAACGTGTTTTATAAATTAAAAGTATTTATTGAAGAATAAGAAAATAGAAATGGGTATCATTTTTGTTATGAAAAAGGTTTGAGGAGAAATAGAGCATGTGTCCACGTGATTGTTGAATTAATTTCTTTAACTAATAGCCAACTTCACCTAGAGATATGTGTAGAAATAATATCAATCAATCAATCTATCTACTCCAAATTATATCAACAAATTGACCCAAAAACCTATGAAAACAGTTATTGACATGTAATAAAAACAAAACCCTTCAACATGGTTTTGAAATTTGAGAACCAACTCTTACCAACTTTGGACTTTAGATTTACATGATTTAATGTTAATGATTCATAATTCATAGATTTTAAAATAAATTAGGGGTATTTGGTTGGAGATAACGTAAGATTATTGAGATTATATCATCTTATATTACTTAATTATTAAGTTTGGTTATCTATTAATATAAGATTATATAATAATCTTGTATTACCTTGTACTGTTGATAATATTGAAAGTAATATGATTATCTTTATTTTTTTAGGTATTGTGAGATTATAAGGTAATCTTATTTTTGTTACAATTTTATTCTTTATTAATAAAAGTTTTGGACAATAATGCCCCTGTTTTAAAATTAATTTACATTAATATATTATTTCAATTTTACCCTTGTTCAATAAAGTTTTTGGACAATAATGCTCTTATATTTAAAACAAATTATAGACCACCACCGTCACCTAGCCACCACCGCCGACAATGGGCCAACCACCACAAACCGCCACTGGAGTCCCTAAAAATGACCGAGAGTCGCTGGAAGGCTCTGGGAGGCTTTGATATGGCTGTTTCTAGCCATACTGATGGCTGAAAATGGCCATATCAGGCCAGATCTGCCGTTAACGGCCAAATCCCTAGCCATTACCGTTAAGGGCCATGGGCCTAGCCGTTAACGGTTAGAGCAGCTTTGATCGGAATAGATCTGACCGCTAATGGCCAAGGATCTAGCCTGATATGGTCCTTTTTGGTCATCAATATGGCCAGAAACGGCCATATCGGAGCCTCGCGGTCACGGTGAGTTACTCACAGCAACTTTCGGTGGTAGTTTGCAGTGGCGGCGATAGGGAGTGGAGTGGGGGATGATTTTGTCATAAATTAGAGTTTTATATAAGCAGGGGTGTTTAAGCTAAATCTGAAATATTGGGGGTTACAAAAATTATTCAAAAATTAATAATAAAAATAATATTATATTAATATTTTAAAAGAGGGTAATTTAGTAATTTAAATAACATACCCACCAATTTATTCTCTTTAACCAAACATATTAATATAACATACCCACCAATTAACCAAACACATTTTTCTAAAAATTTACAGTAATCTTCAAGATAATATAAAATTTCAGTAATCTAACATTTCTAGTAATCCAATATTCTCTGAACCAAACGCACCCTTAGAGCATTCCTTATACATTAAAAACTTGGGATTCTTCTTCACTTTTGACCAAAACATTTGACTAATTTTCTTATATTTATATTCTTTAAAAGTGATAATTATTTTGACAGAAAAAAGAATAATTGTTTTGACAGAAAACAAGTTTATTACAATTGGGTTTTCATTAAATTAAAATTCATTCTTAAATCTCAAAAATTGATTTGTTTAACCTATACTTATAATAATAAATATAGAACAAAACCCAGTTATAAAATATTTCCTTTAAAGCACAAAATACAAGTTAGTTGAACCAATTGACGAAACAAGATTTAGGTCAAATATTATGGCAACTTTATTTTAATTTAAATAAATTTTTTTTTTGTGGGTTGCATGGAAAAGACAGATAAATTGGGTAAAGGTTGTTAATGGGGGTCATTATGGTATTTTGGAGGTAAATACTGATTAGGGTTTGCTTTTGTAAATGAATCATCATTAATCTTATTAAGTAAGCTTAACAAAATCGATAAATTGATTGATTGATTGTATCACCCACATGCACCACAGCAATGATAACCATTTGATGGTTTTTTTTTTTTTTTTTGTCATTTTTGCTTTATGAATCGTTGACATTTCTCAAAGGTGACAATGGAGTTATAGATTATTAATAGACTCCCACCTTAGCATGTTTGTTTTTGTTATCATGAACATTCATAAAAAGATGACTATTTCTTTTTCCATTTCATTTTTTTTTTTTTTGGTTTTGTGTAATTGGTTAAATTGATGATATATTTTAAGTTCTTTTTAGTTCTGTAATTTGTTTGGGTTGGGAGCCTCTACCGAGTACCCAACTTTGAGGCCCAGCAGCTCTTCTCATTTTTCTAACACTATGCTTGGATTTGGATTTGGAGATGTAAAAATACTTCGTTTATAACCCAATCTCATAACTTTCTCTTATAACTCTAACATGACAGCAGAGTTGGTACTATCACATCAATTAACGA